GTATATGGAATTCTCCGTGCTATGTATTCAATTCTATAAATCTAAACCTGCTTTAAAATTTTAAGTGAACTATTTTTTTTTTAAAGCTGTAGATTCGAGTCAAATTATTATGCTTATACCTTTACTACAGTGTGGTTGCCAATTATCTCAATAAAACCGGGGGAGGGAACGCTTTAGATTCTCTTTATTTTTGATACATGATGGAGAACAACTAGTGGTTGAGAATAATAACAGCTCTATCTGTTCATCTGCTAGATTAAGATGCTTTGAAAGAAACATCCAAATAAGAGCAGTATATAAGGACATGAATGACTTTAAAGCTCCATAGGAGGTCTCAGAAACTTTCCAGTCTAAGGTTAGGGTAATTTTAAATCATAAGCTCTAACACCTTGAAGGCAGACTGCAAGGTAGTTGTAGTGTGACCCTGATTTCCACATTTCTCATTAGCTGAGAGTCCCTAGGGATTATGGTCCAATCCAGGAAAAAATCAGTTTAGAGCAACCCTATAGGAGCTTTCTCTGACTACATTACACTGCCAGTACCAGACAATATTTTGGATTCAGAGTCAAACTTTCATTATTTTCCAGTGCCATTTTGAGATTAAACAAGTCGTAGGGAGCAGCTGAGTCCCCAGGTTTAGATTCTAAGACCTTGTGACTCAGCCCTGTCTGCCAGTTTGCTCAGTGTGGCAGTGGATGATGAGCTATATTTGTTTGTTTGTCTATATTTGATAGTTTTCCATTGTTGGTCGAAAAGACCTATTACACTAGACTCCACACTGCCCAGAAGAGCAGCACTGAGGCTTGACACATTTCATTGCCCAGTTAACACTTTTCAGTGATTTCTAGAGTGCCACCATAAAAGTAAAACAGGTGTTAACAAACTGACCCCCCCACCCCGCCAACCATTATTGTATAGCTTGTGAGCTAAGAATGGGTTTTATATTTTTAAATGGTTGGAAAAAATCAAAAGAAGAATAAGATTTCATCATATGAAAATGACATGAAATTCAAATTTCAGTGTCCATACATAAGGTCTGTTGGAACATAGCCACATCCGCTTGTTTTTGTATTTTCTATGGTTTCTGTTACACTACAACAGCGAAGTTCAATGATTGTGAAAGAGATTGTATGGGACACAAAGCCTAAAATATTTACTGCCTGACCCCTCACAGAAGATTGCCAACCCCCACGTTAAAGCATTAAATGGTTCTCTAGAAGTTTGAAAGAGTCAGGGCAACTCCTAAAAGTGCAAGAGTTATTCTCAGGGAAGATGACACTGTGAACATCTGACTTCAGCTTTGTTAATTTAGAGGAAGTGACTAAGAAGTAAAACCTGAGATATGATAGGAGGGGATAGAGTGTCTTCTATTTCTTTTAAGCCAGGAAATAATAGCCTTTTGATAGATAAAAAGACATCTTTTTTTTTTTTCAAGGTATATTTATATTGTTACAAAACTCCATTTACTTTATTATCAGTTTTGTGTTTAAATGCAATATAATTTAAACAAAGTCACCTCGTCATTTCTTTATCCAAAGTATAGGCCATCAAGTGATAGGTCTCAAACAACTACCTCATGTATTCATATGTCATTCACACTTGGGCATCAATAATTTACTAGAGCACAAATAATTGAAAACCACAGTTATCCAGAAACCTTGTTTTTTAGTTTCATCCTCCTTTTAGACTTTTGCTCAAGCTATCAATAAAAAGCCACACTTTTTTTGTGTCATCATCTCGACTTGTCTCTGCCTGCCCCTCTGGTGGAGAAATACTTAGGAGTAATAAAATGGCCAAAAGGTGGCAGCAGGAGGGCAGAGGACCAGAAGCAGGAGGAGAAACAAAGAGCCCTCCATTCACCCACTGGACAGTCTGTTTCTGGATAATCCAAAGTGGGCTGACCTTCCATCAAGAAAAAATCTTTCTTTTCTACGGCTATGCCACCCTGAATGTGCCCGATCTCATCTGATCTCAGAAGCTAAGCAGGGTCGGTTAATACTTGAATGGGAGACCTCCTAGGAATACCGGGTGCTATAGGCGTAAAACAAAACAAAACAAAACAAACAAACAAAAACTTTCTTTAGGTTTTCCTCCCACAACCAAATAATTTCAAAGTAATCGACAAGGAAGATGTGAATTGGCGTAAAGCTTTGCTTAAAGCATCATTCTGCGTGCCATGGATAACTTTATTTTAAAACAGTTTTATGAAACTTGATATTCGAAGGTCCAAAATGTTTTAAGATGAGCTAGAAGCACTATAAATGTTTAACTTGCTCTGCTACTTTCTGAGTATTTTTTATTATTAGTTTATTTGGGGTTTAAAATTTTTTTACATGACTAGATTAACAGCTATGTCATTTAAAAATAAAAAAAAAAAATAAGACAAGAAGCTATCCTTATCTTTAGCTCTTGACTAGAAGAAAACAGATGCTTGCATGAGGAAACTGGACAGAACTGGGGTGAGTAGCAGCCAAGAGAAGAGTAAACCACTGCAAAAAACAAATTTGTGAATTACCAGACTAGTTTATGTTTATGACTTTTTCCCTTGGCCCTTAATAAATAGGGCAGTCATTTTATAGACTTTTTACTGGAATTATTGTGTAGTAATTGTCAAATTTTATGAAAAATTATGTGAGAAAAATGCTAAATGATAGGAAGAATATATGTATCGTTTAGGAAAATCCTCCTTTTGAATCTTTTAATGGAAATAGTTCCTGTGAAATTTTGTGTCCAAGCAGTAAATAGCAATCTGGCAAGGAATATTAAATAAAAGTTTAAAACTTTCCTCTTGTTGATCTTCAGCCTCTGGATTCTCTGGTATCAGGTCTCTTGTCATTAAAACTATCCATTCCTCATTATCCTCTGCCGGTTTTCTTTCTTTCTTTTTTTTTTTTTAAATAATATCAGACATCTATTTCATAACTGTATCTTTGTGTTCTCAGCTTTGTCTCATTCTGTTTTCTACCCTTGCCTTGTTAACACATAGCTTTTGCTCCCAAGCACATTTTTTCCTGCTTTGTAATTCCTTTCTTGCCCAGTGACCTGCACACAGCCTTCAGGAAGCCCAGGAAGCCCAGACACCCTCCCAGTGATACCCGACCCTCTTCCCTCTCTCATATCTTCTTGGACTATTGCCTGACTGAAGATAATACGAATCCACTGTAGACTCCCAAATCATCTAATTAGGTCTTTTATACTGAGGTTCGCTCTCCCATTACATTTTTTTTCTTTTCACCTCTATGTTTACACTAAGACTGCTACTTTAAAAACGTGAGCTTCACTGGTGGAAAACCAGATTACCATTTTGTTCTACGTAGTGACTCGTCAGACAGTCAGTATAGAATTTTGAGTGTGTGGTATGTAGAGCCCATTAATGCATGTGTTGACATTGAGTCAAAAGTAATATAAATGACAATAATGCCACACACAAAAATACACCAAACACATCCATCCTTTTTCCTCCTGTGATTCTCTGTGAAAGAAACAGGTAGAAACATAGGATATGTTTCAGAGCTGAATTGGGTTCCTGGTATAACGTTTAGCACTAGTGACTCTAAATGAGAGTGCAATAAGCAAAAGAATTTTAATTTTTTTTCTTTCAAAAGAGTTTTCAGAGTAACACAGAATTTGACTTGCATACAGAAATGCCTATGTGTTTTATAGTATATCAGTTTATATAATTCAAGGCACATAAAGGTGAGAGTTGGTTATATTTTGTTTTTTAAATTCATACAGCAGGTCCTCGAATGATGTCATTTTGTTCAACATTGTTTCATTACACCATTGATTAGATGCCGTAGGAACTTAACTCCTGTTTATATCAATTAGCCTATGGTAAAACTGGTTTCATTGCGTGTAATTTTGCTTAAAGTTGCAGAACCTATTAAAACAACATTAAATGAAGACTTACTGTGTGCTCCCTTAAAGGAGTGTCTTCATTATGCCATTAGTTTAATAAAAGTTCTAAATTCTTTAAAGAAAGTTAGAAAATTTAATAATTTTTAAAATTAGCAACTGGGAAAACATTTAATATATCATCTAATAAAAAAAAGGCCTACAGAATTATATTTAATTTTATTTTTAAATTTTCATATGAAGAAGACTTAGAAGAGACCTTTCCTAGGAAATTAAAATAATTAACATGTTTGGGTTCTGTAATTGTAGGTGATTTTTCTTTTTCTATTGGTCTTCCATTGTTTTCCTTATTGTTATTATAGGATATTATTTATGCAGTCAAATTCAGTGATAGGAGAGAAAGCTTGGAATTTGTCATTTACATTGACTCTCCAGACTTCTCTTACTCTGTCTGGCGACAGCTATGCCCTTGCTATTTCCAGTACTTGATCTTAACCTACTAGCAGCCTGTGGAGGTAGGAGTGGGACAGAGATCACTGGGTGTCCTGCCTCAGTACCTGAAGTCAGCATATGGTTAATACTGCACCTTGTCCTTTCAGAGTGACGATGTTCGAGGACTACAGGCTATGTAGATGCCTCAGAACACCATCTATTCCAGATAATTTTAGGACACAGTATTAGCAGGGTGCTTAAGAGCAACTGTCAGATATGCCCGAGTTTGAATCCCAGTTTTGTCAAGTAGCAGGTATAACTGGGGCAAATTACTTAACTGCTTTGAGCTTATGTTTATTTATGTATAAAATGGGAAAATAACGAAATCTATATCATAGAGTCGTAGCAAGGATTAATATGGTAAATCTACTAAGAATGTTTAGTGAACGCCTAGTAGATGCATTCACTAAATGCATCTTGCTTGCCGCTCCTGACTTCCTACTTTAGAGCTTTGCTCGAGGTACTTTCTGGGCATCCCCTATTTAATTTGTTTCTTTTGCATCCATAGATGAAGTAAGAGTTACCAGCTCAATTTTTCTATGCTGTGCGAATGTGAAATCGGCTGACTGGGGATCATGCGCTCCTTCTATAGCAGTTGCTCTGTCTTTTTCCATGTCTGCTTATTGAAATAACCTTCTTCTTTTACTTTACAGATATATGTAATTGACAGCGCAGACAGAAAAAGATTTGAAGAGACGGGCCAGGTAAATAATTCTTCTGTTGAGTTATTTCCCAAGTAACTGGGTATTCATTAATCTGCCTTGTAAAAGGATAAGAGGGTGAGGGAGGTGTTTTTTTGTTTAACCTCTGCAATTTAAACAAGACGGTCATTCTGGCAAACAAGCAAAAATACCAGTCGCCGAAGAAGAAATAAGTTGAGAATCCTTTAAACAGTTTTTTTTGATTAAAGCCTTTTTAGTTTTAATCAAATTAAATAATCAAGATATAAGCAAATGGAACTTACTGCCATGCTCAAGAGCTCTTCAGTTTCTTCCCAGGCCATATAGAAATGAACCCAGAGGAACAATTCACTTACCATTTCTATGTATGGTTTTCATTATCAACTTAATTGATCCAGGGCTAACTTTAACAAATTCAGTGAGATGGGAAGAAATGTGCAAGCCAAGACTAAGCCGCTTATTTCCAAGCCAAGAGCTAGGTATACTTTGAACCCAAATATGGCTTTAAATGCAGAGTACCTGTCAACATGATTACACGATGCAATTCGTGTACACAGTTTTAAATAGAGAAGCAGTGGGCACAGACTTTTTACTGAGTACACTGATAAGAAGCAAGGGGCAGAGTGAACCTCTTTGGAGAAACACGATTACATTTCATTGCAGAGTCCTTGGCTTATGTCCTAACCTACCAGGGGTGGCCTTCCAAAGGTAGCAGTCCCCATGTTTATGTTCCTTTTTTCTGAAAATTAGTTTGAGAACTCTCTAGACTCTTGAAAACAACCATTCTATACCTTGATGATTTCTGGTTCATCACGCATGTAAACCAGTGCTAAACATGAGCTTGGAAGTAAAGGGTGTCATATAATGATCGCTTGAACCATCCAGTTCTCTTTGACAACCCAGGTGTCCTAAGCAGCTAAAATCTGGGTTTAATGGGAAAAAGTGGGTCCCGGCGTTTAGTATACACTCTCTCCTATACTTATTGCAGACAGAGTCAGCATGCAGTTTAGACTCCAAACAATAAACTAAAAGTCAAAGACCTTGCCAGATGCACTAATACAGTTATTTTAGAAAGTGGGTTTAATGAAATGTAATGCATATTGCATGCATGTTTTGGAGATAAAGATTAATGAAACAGAATTATAGTCTCTAAAGCAATTGTCATTTTCAGTTTATATTTAAAAATATATGTGTGTGTATGTGTATGTATGTGTATATATATAAATACTCATTGAAAGTTATTTGCGGATAATAACCTTGGGTAAGTTTTAAATCTCTAACCACGACTTGTGTTCTTCCTTGAGCAGTGTTTCTCAAAGTCTGATCCGTGAATCTCCTATAGCAGAACCACCTGGGAAGCTCGTTAAAAATGCAAATTCCAGGGCCCTGGCTCAAACTTTCCAAAGTCAGCATCTCTGGGGTAGGCCCAGGAATTTGCCAGGGGATTCTTCCACAGACTCAAGTTTGAGAACCACTGCCCTTGAAGATTGCTAGTTGGTCAGCTTAACTGTTTTTGGGGTGTTTTTTTTTTTTTCTGATTAGAAGTGAATGGTTAAATATCACAGATTTCATCCTTCCCTCCCCATCTATCCTCAAAATGATCTAGGAACTAGCTGAATTACTGGAGGAGGAAAAGCTAAGTTGTGTACCAGTGCTCATCTTTGCTAATAAACAGGATCTGCTCACGGCAGCCCCTGCCTCTGAAATTGCAGAAGGACTGAACCTGCACACCATCCGCGACCGAGTCTGGCAGATCCAGTCTTGCTCAGCTCTCACAGGAGAGGGTGTTCAGGTGAGATTACCAGAAGGTTTGGTCACCTGGCCGTATGACAACCAACCAAGGTAGTCTATCTCATTGGTTGGTCTGATCTAGATAGAAAAAGGATATGAAACAAGCAGCCTTTGATTGGCAGATGAACCATTCCAGAACGTGGAGGGCATAGAGAAGTGTCGTTCTTTTCTACTTAGCAACCAATATGACATCATTAACTGTTCTAGGAAAGCCACAGACAAACCACCCCATACGACTAACAACCCCCATTAGGTAGGGGGTCAGAACAGAAGACTTAGAAGATGCTTTCTAACTCTAGGATTTTTTGATGGTTGGGGATTTTGTGTTGTGTCTAATATTATGGATGTCGAATACGTGTACTCCCAAGGTAACAGAGCCATCAACAATTCTGCACACTAGTTATCCTAAAAGTGTTTTGTTTTGTTTTGTTTTTTCCTCTTGGCTGTCTCCACTGCCTTCAGCGTTGGTGTCTGTTTTCTGCTACTTCAGGTTGCTTTCCCACTAGGAGGCTTCAGCTAACAGAAAGCCCCATGTTTTATATTAAGGAACTGTATACCGGAAGAGCAGGCTCCTCCTTATTTGATATTAATTTAGGGCAGAAAACTGTTGTATCCCAGACACCTGAGAGGCTGTTTTCTCAAAGAATGATAACTAGTTTTAGCTCTGAGGCTTCCTATGAAGCAGCCTAAAACCAGGTGACACTTGGAGTCAGCCCTCTAGGACTGTTGCTTTATTCCAAAGCCCCAGCATGCTCCACATACCTCATTTTAAACATCTGGTGGACCTGCCAGGGAAGTGACACCAGGCTGTGAGAATCGGACAGTACAGCTCTACGATGCTGTGGGGGATTAACAACATCTAAAGAAATGGTGTCTTCCCTCATGCCATATGGCATGTGTCTCTAATGGCATGAACTTGGTGTGCTGAGGTACGAACCTGTCATTTGATTCTCAATCGTCGTCCTGCAGCCCCTTTCCATTTCCTTTCTAATGCTCTTCTTCCCTGTCTCCTAAGACATTTGACATTGATTTGTCTTAAAACCGCCTGACTGCTTTTATTTCAAGCAAATACTCATATCCTAGAATTGTCTCACTTGTTCCATCTGTTTGCTGCTTTTTTTTCTTTCTTTTTATTACACAAACAACCAGGGCCTGCTTCTGTGCATGGCCTCTAGATCTGAGACCAGACCAGTCAGCACAAGGCAAGTGCCCCCTCCTCCAGACTTCTCAATACCTGTGCCCTCCGAAGAGCTTCATGCATGTGTGTGTGGATAGTGTGGGCTCTCAAGTGGCCAGAGATTACCTCAGCTACGTCCCCAGAATGGATGCTGGAGCTCTGTGGGTCTCTGTGAGGTTTAGGTTTTAGGGAGGGGGTAGATGTTAAGTCTTCTTTCCTTCCTTCCTTCCTTCCTTCCTTCCTTTCTAGACTCTGGTTATAAAGGTAAAGTATTCTCATTGTTAATCATATAAAAGTATATAAAATTTAAAACTGAAAAGTTTTTTCCTCTCCCTTAATCCCACCCGACAAAGGAACTATTATTAATAGTTTTATTTTTCTTGGGTCTCCTCTATAAAATGACAATCACAATATATGATTCCAGATCTATCAAATTAACTGCTTTTTCAGTTTAATTTAGGCTAGTCCAACAAGTATACTACCCAGGAGTTTTTGAATAGGTAAACTCTAATCATTTTATTTAGCTTCTCATTTAAAAAAAAAAAAATCAAGTTTTGCATAAGGTATTTATTTGCCTTGATTGTGCATAAAATGATCTTCATGAGGCCTAAAGTTATTTTTATGAAGATGAAGCCTTCTTGTGTTTGTACAAACCACTTTAGCAAGAGGACTCTGCCTCTCTAAATCGCAAGTATGGAGAGTAGAGAACATCTTGAGCTTTGGGGCTCTAAAGGCAGAACTAAAGAAAATAAACATGTTGTGTGCCTACTTCTAAGAAAGTGGGAATTGACAGCTCCGTAATCTTTTTTCCCTTGGCCAAAGTGTGGAAAGGAAGAAAGAGCAAAGCCAGAATTAACAGTGAGGTTCTTGTTTCTTCAGCCAGCCTCCAGGATGTAAACAGGAGAGACTAGAGTTATCTAGAATCAGTATTGAGAGTAGTGACATTCAAGTCAAGGATACTTCTTCACAGGAGCCTGGGGATGGGGAAGGAGCCCAGTCACTGTCTTCCCAGCCCCCCACACCCCAGCCCGCCCTGTCTGGAGGAGGGCACCAGGATAGAGCTCTGTGTTCCTGGCTGTGTAACCGCTGTAGAGGCGGAGTTCCCTTTAAGTCACAAGATCTTTTGGTCAAAAAGGGGGACAGTGAGCTATCTATCCGCAGAGAGTTGGGGAGGGCTTTAAAATCAACCAGTTTAAATCAAGTGAGATAATCGCGTATGGTTGGATTTTTTTGAGAAAGTTCTCCTCAGATCAGGGACCTTCAGCAACCGATTCACAGGAAGTGATATCAAGAGAGATCTGACAAAGAACTGTGAGCAAAGAAATAATGATTTTTATATGGAGGAGAAATAGTTTGAAGGTCACTTAATTAGTTTAGTAGATAGTACCATGGTGTATAGAATTGGGTAGTTAAGACTGGGATTTCAAGGTTAATGAGATTAGATTATGGTTAATAGAATGATATAAATTTAGAGAATTTAACCATTATTTGAAATGAGTTATTTAATAAAAATGTTAATTAAGAAGGGAATCTGCTGTCTATTGTCCTTTAATGGTAACCTTTGGGGACTGGAGAAAGGTCGCGGAGTTTTCCTTGGAAACACTTTTCATTGTGACGCATTGATTGACCATGTCCCTCCTTCAGGTAATGCCTCTGTCCTGAGCTCTTGCCCACTCAGCCAGTGTCTTGGTGTTCACTTTAAAAAGAGTCACTTAGGTGGAATTATTTTTCTATAATCCTTAGTTCAAGTACAGCCCTTTAATGATTCTTATTAATTATGGATTTAAGTATTCCTGAAAATGAAAGCCTTCACTAGAAAAATGTCCTCAAGATCACTTTCAGACATGGATACTGTGTGATAATTACTAAAATTCCCTAAATTCTTATTTCATCCTCCCATTCCACCCTCCCCACCCCGCCGCCCTCTGAAAGCTGATCAGTAATGGGCAAAGCTACCCACATGATCAGACTTTAAAGGGTCAAGTAACATCTGGCACCAGAGCTCTAATGACAGCTGAAAGAAAAAATGTCTAACAGTTAAAAAAAAAAAAAAAGACCTGGAATTTGTTACAATTTCAGGTGTTTAAAGACAGTGTCTCTATTTATGTTCTGTTTGTGTATATGTGTTTAATCAGAATGTTTGAGAGACCTGTCTTATACTGATAAATAACACCCTCAAGTGGGTGAGCCAGGGGAATAGCCACATCTCTGCTAGATGGTGGGCTACATCTTCTGGACTCATGGAGCAGGTGTGTCACTTCTCCTTACTCGAGTAGCTTAAACACATGATTTGAGGTTATGGAAGTTAGTGATTCTTGGGATGGAGTTCAGGTTTTTGTCCTACCTGATGTTCTGAAAGCAAATACGTGCAGTCTCTCCGAGGACAGGCAATCCCATGTGGTGTTCAGCAGCCCCTGCTCTGAGTGTGGAAATTGACTTTTGAGGGCTTTAAGAGAGTTCGGAACAGGTCTTTCTCTGCCTGATTGATGGTGACGAGGAGGCCAGCCTATCATGTAATTAAAGCAGGTTTTCATGGGAAACTCGAGAGCAGAGCATAGGTAAAGGGCACTAGAAGCTGAAGGAGAGCATCAATCTTGGAAACCTTGTCCTGCTGAGAGGCCCAGAGTCCAGGGGAGTGATCAGAAGAGACCCAGTTATGTCAAGCAGATGAAGGCAGAAAGAGGAGAAACTGAAAAATGTCTGGGAGGGAAAACCTGCAGCCCCTTAGCCAGACTGACTGCCTTTCAGACATGGAGGCTACCTCCCTCTGTGCCCTTGGGGCAGGGCCAGGGTTGCTAGGGCCTCTCCTAATGTGTAACACAAAAATGTCTAGAAAAAAAAACAAAGGATCTGGCTTAGAGCCAGAGAAAGGTAGAGAGAAATCAACTCTTCTTTTACCTACAGACGCTAATTTGAACCCCAGATTACAGTTGTCCTTTGCTGTTGTAGTGTCAGGCATTTGAAGACATTTTCTCTCTAAAACGTCGCGCGCGCGCGTGTGTGTGTGTGTGTGTGTGTGTGTGTGTGTGTGTGTGTGTGTGTGTTTAATTAAAATCATACTGAAATAGAATTTCCTTTCAGTACAGAGATCAGCAGTTCCAACCTGGCCTCTAGCCTCAGTCATAACAGAGACCTGCCTATACCAATAGCTTTGCACTAGCAGAAAGTTCTCCTGGATATTGCTCTCCATGCCCCCACCTCATGCTCACCTTTTCTTTTCACATCTCTCCCACATTCCCCATCTTCCTTCTCTAAACAGGAGCGATGGTCCGGCTCACAGTAGTCTCACTTACGTATAAAAGACCCCTAGCAGCCAGAGCCAGAGATGCGTGACCTGTACTTAAGAGTGCCTTGCAGATGCACACTAAACAATTCGCTAGCCCAGTATCTGTTTTTCCTTCGTCTAGGGGACTCTTCCTTTAATATACCAAAAGAATTTCGATATTTTTAAAAATGACATTTACCACTTCTTACTAGGCCTGGCATCAGTTATTTTCGATTCCAAGTGTACAAGGAACTACCTATCTGCAAGTCAGACCTCAGGTTTATTTTTAAATTTTCAGATCTCTCTATAGACTAAGAAAGCAAGCTTGGGATATGCGATTTTGCTACCTCTCTGATGCAGTGCCCCTTGTCACCAGAAAAAATATTAAAGCAAGCAGTATTTTATGTATGCTGCATCCAGCTGCTCCTTGACCCTAGGGGCCCCGTGGCACAGTGGGAGAGGCCACATCGCTCAGGAAGGGCCTGAGCGCCTCCTCGTCTTAAAGCAATTACTGATGTGACGCATAGTCCTCATGGCATTACAAACCAGGCCCACCCAACCATGGCTGCCACTGCTTCCTTCCAACCAACAAGCAGTGACGGATGCATTGTAGAGCGATCAAATTAATAGGAGCAGGGCAGTCAGAAACCACTCTTCCCATAGAAAGGGGCACCCTGCTTTTAATCCTGGACCATCGAGATCTGTGATGAGTAGATTTCCACCCCTGTGGTTAGGGGTAGCCTTATATTCTTCCCAGTGGTTCTGGCAGGGACTAATATCATGAAATGGTAAAGTTATTTCCTCTCCATGAGCCCAAATCTCAGTATTTGAGGTTCAGTGTCTCTCTTTAGTCTCTATTATTGAATTAAAGCTAATCAATTTAAATTCAGTTTCAGCAAGGTTGGTCAGGGGAGGTGTGGTGGAGGAAGAAAGGGAAGACGACTACTCATGCCATATGATTTTCATCCCCGTGACGAAGATCAAATGTGCAGAAATTCGGTCAAACCAGTTTTTAACAATAAAGGTTCAACCATTAAACAAACCTATGAGTTCATTTCCTTCTTTGGAGGCAGAACAGTAACCTAGTTCTTTAAGTAACCGATCACCTTTTCTTAGTGTCTATTAAAAAAAAAAAAAAAAAAACCCTTGCCAAATGAAGGCAAGAGTGATGTGGCACACTCATTTAAACAGGAGAAACAGAGGGTTCCACCTCTTGCTATGATGTTGTCTCTAAATGTGGAGTTGCCACCAGAGGCGGTGGTCTTGGCGGAGAATTATTATGCTAGTAGGGTGCAGCAAGATAAATATGCAGCTTCCACATGCAGAGATACCTGGCAGCCCAGGAGTCTTGAGAGTTGAGTGGCCAAAAACAGCCTCTAGCACCTTCAGAGCTGCAGCCAAGCTATGGCAGGGTGCTTGGCTTGGGGCTACCCCACTCTCATACCCCTATAGTCCGCTGGGCGTCATAAGGAAAAAACAACGGGAATTGCACTCTTTCAATCCCACCTTCAGGGTGATTCTCAGCTTCTTTCTAGGCTTGAGGCTGAGCTCCACCCTCCAGTACTTGCCTGCATTCATTGAGAAAGAGCATGGGTGCTGGAGCTCGATTGCCTGGGTTCACAGTCTGCCTCTGCCACACACTATTCTGTGCCCCCATTTCCTCATCTGTAATGTGGAAATTATATAGTACCTACTTCACAGGGTCGTCACAAGGATTAATTGAAAATCTATAAATTGTCTACTGCAGAGCAGACACTCTGCTAGGCTCTGTAAACACACCCTCAAGCCAGGCTGACATGGACCGCCCCCCACACACACACTTTAGTGGGCTTGGACAACACTTATTGTTCCTTTCCAGTAGGCAACTTGGCACAGCTTGTTTCTGATTTGATTGAAGAGGTATTAGCCCTGTTGACTGTTGCTTCCCCAACAACCCCCAAGCTCCAGCTCAGGTTCTCTTCTGGGTGATAAAAGGAAAGGTACAACTCCCCAACCCCCAAACATTTCAGATGAGGGCTACCTCCTCAAGAGCAGCCACAGGGCTTGGCCCCTATTAATTCTCCCTGGGCTTCTCCTCATACTCCTTCAGGTTGCTGGAAGCAGCTGCAGAGGCTGAGGGACCAGAAGGTCATCTGGTGGGTACTGACCTCCAGGCGCCCTCTGTTGGCAGGACTGTGGCTGGAAGGGCTTTGCCACCGCTGGCCCTCACAGTTGGAGGACACTGCCCCTCGGTAGGGTTACCCCGTTTAAATCCCCTCTGCCTCCATAACAGACACCCAGGAGAAAGCTGCCCCTCTCCCTCCACATTCTGCTTTGGGTTCCTGCAGCTGAGTAAATATTTTTCCTATCTTCGACTGCATTCAAGTTCAGTCGCATATAATAAAAGACACACACCCCCTGCATAATCAGCTATAAAGCAAGGGGAAGAAATGGTACTCAGATAGTGTGGAAACACTGTTCTTGATTTCTCTGAGATGATTTGATAAAGTATTGCACATCTCTGTAGAGGAGAAAATATTGAGGTGCGCATCTTTGGTAGTGTTTGTGCGGGTTCCTGAAAATGGAAAGTGCTACATAAGTGCTGAGCTATTCAGCTTTGAAGGCAAAGAGAAGATGGTTATCTTATTCATCTGTCTTCTATTTGTAAAATCTTTTTTGTCTCCTGGGAGGTGATCATTTTTTTTTTTCCTGGAAACCAATTAGCTACTAAAATTAAACATGCTTCTCTTCAAATTAATCCTTTTCATAAAATGGTCTTAAAGTTGGCCTCAGCTTTTCAAGTAAGTAGCTGACCCAGTTGTAATTGGAGATGAATTCAGAGGCCACCTTTCTCCCACCTCCGCATTCCCCCCGCCCCCTTCCATTGCTGCCAGGTGCTGTCCACCTTTGGGCTTTCAGCCATGGCCAGCCTCATCTTGGCAAATTCCCTAAAGTCCACTCTGGAACAGCCATCAGATTATCTGGTTCTCCTGCCCAAGTGCTCTGATGGCAAGTGGCAGTTTAATCACTGTAAATTCAGGTTATGGTCAGATTAGCCAAGAGATAGGATGCCTGCTGGTTGTTTTGCAGTGATGTATTGTTTATGGGATTAATGCTCCGAATGGCCAAGGGTGTCAGCTGATATTTATTACTTTAAGCTGGCTCAGCTGTTTAGGTTCAACAGCTAGCTCCATGGTCACAGGAAATGCGGGGCTCTGCATGTTGTGTATGCCCTGAGATGTGCAAATGTGACTAGGACTTCAGCGAGCATGTGATATAGATGCAAGGGAAAGGGATTTGTTGCAGGAGCCTCCTTGGATTTTTGTTCTGGGCTTCCGAGGGAACTTCACACACCCTTGGAGGTCAGAGAGACTCTGGGGAAAGGGAGAGTGAGCATTCATGGGTGGCTCCAAAGGGGGTTGAAAAGGAGGTCATCTCTGGCAGGCCTGGCATCCAGGAGAAATCATGCCACCTGCCAGTTGACTGTAGGCATTGTGTGGTTTTTACATCTGTCCTTCTCCAGCCTTCTGAGAGAGGACACTTTCAAGGTCACTGTGCCTTTAAGGGAACCTTCTCCCCAGTCCCTCTGCTTAGTAAAGAATCAGGCCAGGCCCTTTTAAACCTATCTGTAGTGCTGCACGAAGAGAAAAAAATGCACATTGCCCCAGTGTATGTCTAGTAACACGCACTGAAGTTGGTTTGTTTTTCCAAAAAGAAATTTAATTTAAACCAAGTGTACACTACCATACTGTAAACATACCAGGGCACCAGAAGGGTGGCTTATTGAATTTAATGCCCTAGCAAAGGTCAGCTTTTAGAAAAAGCCAAAAATGGCTGGAATCTTTCCTGATAGCTCCTCAATCAGGCCTCGGATCCAGGCAGATGTGTTTGTTTTTTCAGAGGGAGTTCCTGAGGACCCATCTCAAGTTCGGACACTGGGTACTACCCTCCCGTGTCCCTCCTGTGCTCTCAGAGGCCTCCCTCCTCTTCCTCAGGAGGTCACTGTCTGTGGTCACCCAGATGGGCCCCTGGGGCGAGGAAACTGCCTGGAGCTGGTGGTTAGAGAGGGAGGACCCCAGATGCCCTACTCCCCCTCTTCTGGGCTTGAGTGTATGGTGCCTTTCTTACAACTAACATTGCCTTTCTCTGCCCATTTCCCTCAAAGGACGGCATGAACTGGGTCTGCAAAAATGTCATTGCAAAGAAGAAATAAAATCTAGACGAATGGAGACGCAGGAGCCGCGAGAGCTGAATTCTGTCCTGAAAAACACTAATTTGCTGCTTTCTGACCAAATGTTTTTCCATCTGTGTACAGCTACAGCTGTTTGAAGAGAGGGAACAACACAGTTTAAACAGAATCATCATTCCAGCAGTAGATTTAACTGATCTCTGAGGTTCAGTATCATTTTTCAAATAAAGGAATTATATTATTTCCTCTGCATAATTGAAATAGTATTAAATGTCTCAAAGCACATGATTAGAAAATGAGATCTTTTAAATGAGCAAGAGATTGCATTGCAGTTCAGTCAATTCCAGTGGGCTTTTTTTTTTTTTTTTTTTTTTTCAAGAAAAAGAAAGGAAAAAAGGAAGAAGCAGCTTATGCTATGTTCATTTATTTACTGACCTGTCCATTACCTTCTCTCATGGTTTTGAAAGCACACAGTGTTTGCTGGTGCTAGTCAGTGATTTTTACCATCACCAGCTGAGCTAGAGCTGTGTTCTGTTCTGTCCGGAGGGAAGCTGCTGCGGGGGAAGGGGAGGAAAGGCAGATGATTAAACCATCTTGTCATGCAGGTAAGCGACAGTGTGTGTAATCCTCACCCTTTGGAGAGAAAAAAAAAAATCCTTTCTTGCAAACAAGTCACCACAGAAACATACTCCATTCCCAACCCCCCAGGCAGCCACACAGGGAAACAAATTCTTATGACTTTTGACTGTACTGACATCTGGAATGTAAGGAGAGGTGGGAGGTTTAATTCCAGAAAAATTACAAGGTCCTTAGAAAGCCCTCACATTGAGGGCTCAGGCTAGCGTAAACAGGCTTTCTCCAGTTCAGTGGAGCAGGGAGCAGTGGACTCTGAGATTAGCTGGCTTCTCCACAGCCATCCTATAGAAGAGATTTCTATAGCTCAAAGAATTCTGTGTTTAAATGATCACAATAGGCCGCTGCTATCAGATTTTAAAAATAAATGCAGCTTTACCATGAGCCTGCTCCACTGAGAGAAAGCAGGCAGATCGATTTTGAGAGGGGATCAATTTTTACAGTGCTGGCAACTTGGTGGTGCGGGATGCTCATGGGTGGAGAGGGTTTGCTGCTGGGAAGAATGTGTATGATTGCAAGAGCCATGCCCAGGGAAGCTAGAGTCACCCCAGCTGCTGGTCTCCCCTGCCTCTCTCCAGCAAAATGTGTCCTCTGTTGATTGATTGGGAGAGGACTGGCAGAAGACTTCTCCTGCCTCATGTTGCAAAAAGAGCTTGTTTCCCTGAGCCTTAAGAAATCCCCAGCTTCAAACATGGGAAAGTCGGCCAGAACATCACCCAGCTCCTGAATTGAACTCTGTTCTGGTGCCTGAGCTCAGGGGTTTTCAGGGAATGAATAAGAGACTGTCCAGTGGCTGGTGGGTCCCAGGAGGCCAGCTGCCTTCTTGCGCTGGGAGGTAGGCCTTCCCAAACCCACCAAGGCACATGAGCAGACCAGAGGGGCCACTCCAGCCCCTGGCCCTCAGCACAGCTTCTCTGGACAGAGTTGTGCAGGTGAGGCTGAAGCATGTCCAGTCTCAAAAGCAGTCTAGGGTGAAAGTCATTAATAATGTCAGTCATGAAAAGGTGCCCCAGGGTTGCTGTGGAGGGATCTGTTAGGACTTGCAAAACAAAAGAAGGTGAGGTTTGTTTAAACCACTGAGCTAGCTGCCCCCTGCCACCTCCTCTGGCTTCTCTGTCTCACTCAAGAGCCTCTCTCGCTTTGAACAGAGGCAAACAGAATTATAAGGAACGGAAATCCCCTTCTGTCAGGCTGTCAGGCTCTAGCACTTGAAAGTGGGTTTTCACTCCAAATAGTGCACCAGGGATGAGAGCTGAGGGGCACAATGCCGGCTTCGAGGTCTGTAATTTTGGAACGTGATATGGAACTTTAACTCTGGCAGCGGATGCTCTGTAAAATATTTTTGTCCTTTTTCACCAACTTAGGGAACTGTTTAAAAGAACCCTCCCAAGGCCTCGGCCGGCAGGCAGAAGCCACTTGCCCTCCTCTGAGAGCCTCTGTGAGTGTTTAGAGTTGCTTTTCAGCTAAAGACACAGTGACATGGTGGATGTCACAAGCTTTCATCTTCCCTTTGAGCCCTCCTAACCCTCCTGGGGGCTCAGGGGGTAGATGAGAGAAGCCAGAAAGATGCAGACTTTGAAAGCTTCCATTTGTAAAAACAAAACGCTTCTAAAGCCCCCCTTTTCTCTCCCCCTCCCCCTGTGGCCATGACCAGAAGACAAAATTTGAAGCTGGAAAGGGGATACCTGGTTTCCCACCCTCCCGCCCCTAGTGAGCCTTGGGAAGACTTGACCTGAGCACGACTGCATCTGAATATGCAGGGAAAAGTCTGGGGTCCAGAGGGCAGAGCAGGCCCAGGACGGGGCGCGGTGGGGCTGGGGGGCAGGATGTGTGCTCAAACCGGTGGTGGGAAAAACTTCCCTCCCCTCCTCCCGACCTTCCCTGTGCTGCTCTTTCTGGCTGGATCCCCGCTCCCAGTGCAGCACACCCTTTCCCCTTCACTCTCCCTTGGTTACTATGGAAACAAGGGTGTCATTGATGTGGGCTGAGCTGGGGGAACATGTCGGCGCACAGCTGAAAGTCAGCGATTATGCCGGCGGGTGAAAATGTGCCGCGGTGAAAGAAGTCCGTAGCTCCCGAAACTGCTGTGAGGACACAGTCCTACCCGCTCCCTCCCTCCATCTCCACTTCTCTCTCTCCTGGCTTTTGACAAATTTCTTTATTCCCTTCTGGGCTAAAGCGGTGGCTATTTTTGTGCCACTCTGTGCCCCACCCTCCCTGTCGGCTGCTCCTTATCCGGCCTGGCCTGGAGGGTGACACCATGTCACCCTCGCCAGGACTCGTCCCTTGATTCCCGTCAGAGTTTGCTTTGATTTCTCTTTCCTTCTCAGGGGCCAGTTCTTACTTCCTTTTATTTTTAGCTCTGCACTCCATGTGGTTTCAGGGTTCAATCTGATCCACTGAAAGGTTCTTTTTTTTAACAGTCCCTTTTGAAAATGATAATCAAAGGAAGGGACGTGGTATTTGGTCATGTGGAAAATTCAATGTATAATTTAGATGTCTGTCAAAAATCCAACAAATAAAATTTAGCTGAAATGAAGGCAGCCAGGAATGTGTTGTGTTCTTTGCTGGAGCTTGAGGAGGGACTGAAATCTGTTTATGCTTTCAGAGGTTAGCATTCCTCAAGGTGCTTTCCTCCCAACCCCCCAGGATATAATATTAACACCACCACCAACAAAAATAAATATAACCTTTAGTAAGCCCCTCCTACATATCTCGCATACATCATGGGGCAGCATTAGTCCCATTTCACAGTTGAGGAAGTGAGGCCCTCACCTCGGTTAAGGATTTTGCCCAATCTCACAGAGCCATTACACTGGGTCTGAAAGCTACAGCAGGCTGCCACCTCTGGGGGACAAAAACAGTAACAGCCCATTTCCCAACAGTCTGAGCCTCTAGCTTTCCAAGCTCACACCATGGGTCTCCTCTGACCAGCACTGATCCCCTGGGGTTATCTGTCCCAGGTGTTGGATGTCCTCTATTCTCAGAGCAGCACAACCATAGATTTTGTACCATCCTTAGTACAGACAGGAAAAAGGGAGAAGACATTAGGAAAGTTAGGACTGACGAGGTTACTTGCAATTACCTAGTGCCTGATACTGGGGCTTCCTATTAGAGTTCAGAGAGAGAAATAGATTTAACCCAAGTCACACAGTATGTGGCAGAGTGGGCACCAGTCCAGGGCTCCACCCTCTGCAGTAGAGGAGCTTATCTTTCCCCATGGCAGCCTCACTTCTGAGGTCTAGAGACATAACAGCCTGGCTGGTCCCAAGGACCCAGCTTTAAAGGCAAGCTGTTGGCAGAATAGAGGGGAGCCTGAGGCAGGAGGGAAGAGAAGCTCTAGCATTGCCAGATAAATGGCAAGACATTCGACTAAAGTTGAATTTCAAATAAACAAAGAATCATTTTTAATACAAGTATTCCCACACGATATTTGGGACAAACTTATAATGCTAAAAAAAAAAGTCGTCGTTTATCTGAAATTCAAATTTAACTGGCCATCCCGGTCTTTTGCTGTTGTTTTACTAAATCTGGCAACCCTATCCAGAACACCCAGCTCAATAAAGGGACAGTGTGGTACAATTGAAATGTGTGCTCTCTGGAGTCGGAGAGACCTGGGGTTCAGTTCTTGCTCATCTATAAACCCATTCTGCAATCCTGGGCAAGCTGGGTACTCTCGGAGTCTTGCTTCTTCATCTGTGGAGTGGGACTAAAGCAGTAGGGAGATTGAAAGGGATATAATGTAAATAAAGCACCTAGACCTTGGGCAATAGCTAGGTGTAGTACGGACGCTCGTGCTTCAGTTTCTTACCTGTAAAATTTGGTAATAGTCATCTACCTCGTGGCATTCTCCAGGGAATTAGACAAAGTTATGGATGTCCAGTGCATAATAGGTGCTAAATCTTTATGATAACTGACAGAAATTCTGGAGTCCAGGCCTTCCCAGACCCCCAAGACCTCTGCCCTCCCACCTCTGCTCCCACAGGGGTCTCTAATTTTCCAGGCAACAAGCAAGCAGGCAGCAGCCTTCTCTGGAGGTGCTGGCAGCCCCCTCCTCTCTGGAGCTCCCAGGGCCACCCCAGCCACACCTCCTGCAATTAGATTTGTAAGTGGGAACAGGCTCTTGTCAGAGGCTCCTGATTGGCTCCGGGCAAAAACACAGTTTAGCGCTCAGTCAAGCTGCATTTTAGGGCCTCTGTCTCTCTCTCCCCGCTCTCCCCCTTAATTGCAATCTGTTCAGTAATTTCCTTTTCCAACACTGCAGAACACAGAGAAGCTTCAGCACCAAGAGCTGGGAAGGGAGGAGAGAAAGAGAGCTCCTACTCCCTGCAGTGAATCTGCTGGTCCAGCACTGTGTCAGGGTGTGTGTGTGTGTGTGTGTGTGTGTGTGTGTGTGTGTGTGTGTGTGTCCAGAACCAGCCACACACGTGGGCACGTGGAGATATGGCCAACCTCACGGAGTCAGATCAGAGCAAATCATTAGGGGAGCATCCACTTGTAGCAGGTATTTCAGTTATATTTAATCCTTGCAACATTATTAACTGTAGGTATTATCGATCCCAGTTTGGGGATAGGGCTCATAGAACTGGACTCATTTGCTCAAGATCACACAGGAAGAACAAGGCAGAGTCAGGATTTGAACTCAGGCCTGTTTGACTGCTGGGCTCCAAGTTCATCTCATGATACCTTTTCCCCTTTATGCTTTTAAGCCTAGAAACAGAGCTAAAGAATCCTCCTTCACAAATGAACACAGAGGTTTCTTTTCCCAGAGTGAATAGCAGTGTCCCAGGAACAAAAAGCCTTTGCTAAAGAAATGAAATATTCATGACAGAATTGTAGCGAGCAAGCTGAGTCAAGGAGGGGAAGGGTTTATGGGAGAACCGCTTGGATACCCGAAGCTGAAAGCTATAAAAGTTGGGGCAGAACTATCATTTAGCTAAGCAAACTGCTACTCCTGTTAGTCATTCGCTGATTTAATCCTTTGATTAGCCCTATAAGGTAACCATGCCTATCCCCATTTCCCAGTTGAGGAAACCAAGGCTCTCAAAGGCTAAGCCACTTGCCTAGAATCGCACAGCTAGGAAATGGCTTGGCTGGGATTCCTGCTATTTTTCTCCAGGACACACTCCTGACTAAACACGGGGCTATGAACTGCTGGGAGCAATGGGGGAGTAGGGCTCCAGGAAACAAGGATGGAGTGAGAGGCCTACCTCATTCTGTGCCAAACCCCTCTTCAGGATCCACAAGACCCTTCCCTAGAATCCCAGAGATAGCTGCTGCTCTGGAGGCCACCAGCAGAGGGGGCAGGGGGCCCTGGCCCCACCCTGACAACAAAGGAAAGAGGCTGGGATGGCTGTTGCCCTTCGGGCCCTGGCCTGGCATCAGTTGCTTCCATTATCAATCAGGATTCAACAAACCCTATCCAGTGCCCTGGCCCAAAATGGAGGAGAGGGAGTCCCGCAGTGAAAGGGCCCCCAGCCCTTAGAGCCCACTTAGACCGCTGGAGGGGAAAGAGAAAGGGCTGACTGCAGATAGACACACATGGCCACTCTGAGTCTTTCTTTGTCTTGTTAGCAAAATGCATGTCCCTGAGACTAGACCAACCTGTCACCCAGGCCACTGCTGATCCATATTGGAGAGGATACATCACACCAGGATGCAAGGCTTGGCACTAGTTAAGGGCCCCTCAGCCCTTGTGTAGGGCAAAAGCTGCACAGCCATACTTGGTGGCCCTATTACACCAACCAGACCCCTCCCTGGGCCTGGCTGTCAACACTCACCCACCCTATCCCAGTCCTCAGTCCCCACCTGGGCGACCTGCTCTGGAGAGCTGGAGCCCACTAGTCACCCTTCCTCAGCCTTCCTGCTGCCAAGAGGTCAGAATCACACAAATTATGCTGGCACAGCAAACCCACGCCCTTAGAATCTGTCCGGGGGCACAGATCTGATCTGAGACTTTTGAATATGAACAGAACCTCCCTGTAGCCTCCAAATGACAAAGTCAAAGTACTTTTCCTGCTTAGATGCTACAGATGGCTTTTGGAGAGAAGGGAAAAGGGAGCTTTGGTTTGTAAGCAACAGCCCATCCTGGGGTCAAGGGGTGCCATCCAACCCAACTCTCCCCTCAATTCCCCCAGCTCCTGTAGGGTTTCAGCCAATTCCTCAGGCCCCTTTCCCACCTTGAGCCCCCCCAGATCAGCCAGAGCAGCAAGTTGGGAGGAAGAAAAAGAAGGAAGAAGGGACATTCAGGGGCTGGGATGCTGATCCCAGGCAGAGGGGAAGTGTCTGCACAGCTGTAGGCAGCCCCCCTATCTTCAGTCTGTGAATGGGTACATCACCCCCTCCCGCGCGCCTGCCTCTGCTCCTGAAACAGTTGGTCCTAATGAACGCAAAGCAGGCAGGGCAGCTGTGTGCATTATCCATATGCATGGGGAGGTGTATATTTATACTCACATCCCACCCCACCCTGCAGCTGCTGCCATCCCCTGTGCCAGAAGGGTGAGTGGGCATAAGCACCCAGGCTGCTCCCAGGCCCTGGGCTCCCTATCCTTCCAGCCCTTGCTCCCCAGCCCACGCCCACAGCTTTCACTTGACCCATTTTGGAGGCAGAAGTTTGTGCGTGTATTTGAGAGAAAAAGAGAGAGAGTGCACACATCATTTCCCCAGTTGGTGCTTTTGATTTCCTCTGAAGTATCTTGATTGCCGGACGTACAATGGCATCTTGCTGCTAGTGCTCCCTCAGCAGCTTCTGGCTCTGTGCCACCTCCTCCCTAGGGCTGGGGTTTTCTGCTGACTCCAGGGCCCATGGCTGGCTGGCAGAAAAGAAGGCCTGATCCAGGCTTCCATTCCTTGGCCTGAGCAAGGGGACCTGCCACAGTCCTTCCTGCTCCTTGGGCTGGGGCCAACCTGCTGCCTGCACCCCTACCTCCTCTTTTACTTGGACCTCCTGCTACCTCCTAGCTAGCCACCTTGTCCCCCAATGCCTGGCTACTCACCTCCTTTGTTTTAAAATGCAGTTCCCCTATGCAGATGCCTTCAGAGGCCCTGCTGCTATGGAACATTCCAGGTCCCTCTGATATGATCCCAACCCTTTTTATAAACCTGTCAATCATGGGCTGTCACACATACCCTAAGCTTCAGATGAGCTATTCCCACTGTCCCCCGACCTAACCCCACAATTTTATTTCCTCATCTGTGCTCATAGCCACCTCCCCCCAGGGTGTATCCCTATTCTTTTATGCTTATCTTACTGCTCCTTTAGGGAGTGATTCAACTCCTATATCCCCAGGAAGATGGCCTGGTCCCTCTAGTCCACAGGGCTCCCCTATGAAACTCATAGAGCCCTGACAGCCTAGGCATTTGGCTTTTGTTCGTTCGTTCATTCATTCATTCATTCATTCATATCTCTTGAGCGGAAGCAAAGCACTTATTTATTTTTTTTAACTTATGAATTGTTTATTTCTGGAAATTTCAGCAAAGCAGTGATAATGCTTCACATCCTGGTCCTGTTCCCTCACACCGTTCTGACCTCATCACTCACTGCTCTGCCCCTCACTCACTCTTT